TTAATACTTTAAATAACATACAATAATGTATGTTTATTGAAGGCTGATTTCAAAAGTGACTGAATTGTTTTACGCCAAAAATTGTAGAAAAGTACGTGCCGCTCTAGAAATTTTTGCATCATCTGACACATTTTGCGTATAGATAAATTTGCAGCGCGAGAAACACTTTTTTCGTGACAAATTGCCAGTTCTGTCAAATGCTAAAGTAGTGCCAGTAGTAATAGCATGATATAGTGGATACGATGTTACATTTCAAAAGATGGATAGTAACTAATGCAGTATCCCTTTAAAGCCTAATCTGTTTTTATTTTGTACAGAAGTACAGACATTTTCTTCCCCTTTTCTCCACTTCTTGAGCGACATCATGCACTCACCTGCAGGCCTAGTTTTTCGTCTTTCAATCCCTAGAAAATCAATTTCTTTTGTGAAGCCGACCTCTCGTCCTACTTTAAGCAGTGTTACTCTGATCGCATTATGGTGTTTTTGTTGTGATGACTCTTCCTGTAAACACGCTTCTATAGCAGCACAAAAAAACCTGCCCCTATCGGAAAAATTTGTTATTTTCCTGGTCTTCCCCATGTTAATTTATTTTCATGTTGTCGTCATGCTGTAACAAAATAGCTATGAGCTTTTATTATTGCAGGAAAGCAGTGATTCTGAACTTGATCCTGATCTGGTCGGTCCACCAACGAAACGAATTCGCAGATCAGCAAGCGATTTGAGGTACGAAAGATCCGAAGAAGAAACGAGACGTGAAAGGAAAGTGAAAGAAAAGAACAACGACGAGTTGAAGAAAATGGAACGGAGGTATGTGGTTCCGTGTTCATCCCCAATTCTTTTGTGTTAGTTGTCCAATTTCCAAGATGCTCATTACGGATGTTTACTCAGTGAGCTGTTTCTCACTCTTAATAGTGCAATACTCACCAAAATGTTTGCATCGGGAAAAAGTAGTTCGGTAAATATGAGGATGATCAAATAAGATCTGGACAAGTGTCTTGTTGTCGGCGAGACAAGAGCGGCGGTAGCGGTTTTGAGTGGAAAATTTCAACGCAAATTATAAATAGCTTTCTTAAAAGGAAGCGCTGAGCACATTTGTTTGATCTTCTTAAAAATCTGTAGAAAAATGCCTAGATTTTGCTCAAACTTTGCAGTCGTTGAACCAAACCTATTTCAGGATGCAGGGCGTAGTAGC